TAAGAAAATAATCCCACTAACAGTGAGTTCTAAGGCAACCAGCAAGAGTATGAAACAAACAACTTATAACATAAGTTTACAACAAACAGGAATACAACTTTTTGGTGCCTCAATTGGCCACTTTTACCTAAGGCTCAAACCAAAGATGAAAGAAGAAGAAAAGGCTTCGAAAGGACCTTATATTCCCAAGCTCTCAAGCTATTTATCGGCAATTATCATCACTGGTAATTTACATAAAAACTAATTTAAGAGCCTTTCTACAAGCTAATCCATACAAGTAGTACAACTTGTTATTAAGAAGTCAAGCTACACCTCCCATAATCTCCAACCAATGCCTTTTATGGAAAGAATCAATGGTTGGCATCCATTTGTCACAAGGTGATGAAAAATCACCATAGATATCAATCAATGCATAGATTTTAATTCCTAATAACTTAATTAGCCAAAACTTATGCAAAACAATTTACTAACTTAGAAATATTAACCTTTGAAAGAAATATTCTAGAAAAAAAACTTGATTTGTTGTCATGGAAGTAATGGTTGAAAAATATAATAGCTCTTTATCGTCTTCCTTTACCATTACTTGTGGCTTCAAGAGCAAAGTAACTCTCTATCTTCTTCCTTCACTATCACTTGTAGCTTCAAGAGTAGAATAATTCTTCATCTTCTTCCTTCACCATCACTTATGGCTTCAAGAGCAAAATAACTCTCTATCTTCTTCTACTATACTCCGACTACAACTAACTTCATTTTTCCTAACAACTTCTATTTTTTTACAATTAATAAATAAATAATATTATGTCTTATCAAAACACCAAAAATTAACTAAATAAAATTTTGGTGCATAATTTATGGCTCACAACAAGTTGGATTATATTAGATTTTGACTTATTTTTAAAAATTTTGAATATATTAATTCAATTTCATATTGATGATACCTATCAAATTCTATAAAGATCTATTTCATATTCTATGTATGTCTTTTGGATCCATACAAGACAATGTATAAACTAAGAAAAATACAAATGCCACTTCTTTCTATAAAAATAGATCATAATTAAGAACTTGAAATAAAAGAGGTCTTAGATTTAAGGGGGTATCAAAATAAATTAAAATATCTTATATATTAGTACATATATAATATTAGTGAACATATATGTAAGTAATCTACAATTCTTATAAATACAACAAAAAATATTGATATGTTTTATTGATAATATCTATTAAAATAAAAATAAAGAATTTAGCAATTCTTTGCTATAAAAAAAAACATACTTAATGAAGATTATATTATATCTTCTAATGTTATTTGTATTTATTTTTTTAATTGCATATTTGAGAAGATGGAGAATCAACAACTAGCAAATTCAAATCAAAAGCTATTTTTTGTTGAGTTTTTAGACAATGCATTGAGATTGTCACAATCTTCAAGACATTGTAATAAAGATGAAGAATCTCAAGAATAATATTTTCTTTTTCAAATACATGGTAAGAAATAATAAGCTTGATATCACAACCTTAGAAGAAACTTTCAATGTTTGGTAATATTATTAATGGTAGAAACCACATCCAATGGTATTTCAAATGTATTATTTGAAAGAAGTTATAAAATCATCAAAAATGATTAAAAAAGAGGATGGTCTTTTTATCTTAATATGAAACATTATTAATGATTGAGAAGACCTATCAACTATCTTCAAAAAAAACAAAGCTTATTCTATATGAATAATATGATTTGTAATATCTTTAACTTCTTCAATATATAATTATTGCTACTTGTAGAACTTGTCTTTTAAAGGGGAGATAATATCAAAAATATCAACATTGGTATTAGTAATTAAAAAGATAAGAAAAGTTAAATAAAAATAAAAATAAATAAATTTGATAATATCTTATAGAGAAGCTTTTTAGAAGCTTTGTAGATGCGGATTTGATTTTATAAGTATTTGTAGGTGATTGGTAGATTGATAATTTGTCCAACAATTTGGCCACGGCTTGTAAATATTGGCTATATGTTACACATGATAGCCACTTATGGTACAAGTTGGCTATGTAATGCATACATAGGAAACTTGTTTTCTAAGTTAAACTTATTTTGTTTAAGTTAGATATGTCTTACATGACATATAAAAAATCATTAAATTACTCCTTAATTAGATAGTATATATAGAAGAAAAAAAAAGACCTTCACTCTTAACAATACTAATTTTGTATTCTAGTCTTAGATCAAGAATCTCTAATTTCTTTGTATTTAGCAATAGTGATTTTATTTTTTTATCTTATATCTAATTTTGAATTATCTACTTTTTCTTTTTTATTATTATAAGAGTATATTTCTTCTTTAGATTTTTTTTATAATTTATGTTTTTGATATATATATATATATATATATATATATATATTTCTTTTCAATAATACAAGAACATATTATATTTTAATTTTTTTTTAGATTCATGTATTTGAAAATTTTACAAAACTACTATGTATAATATTAAAATTTGATCTTTTTTAGTAAATCAAAAGATATTTTTTCCTTAAAAATATCAAAGTCTTTAAGAAATTACAAACTACCTCGTTTTAAATTAATATTATATTTACAATATAGTTTTTATTTTATTCTTTATTTTCTTAAATTCTTATTTTTTAATCATATAAAAATTCTTTGAATATTAAAGTTATAAAAAAAATAGAAAACATAAAAAATTACTATGTTCAAATGGAGAAATAATCAGCATAAATTTTGATGCTTTTCATGTTTTAAATTTGTTTATTTTACCAACTAATATTAAGAGTGCTTAATTTAGAAGATAAAAAATAATAAGAATTTCTTTAGAAATTTTTTTATCTCAAGTAACCTATAAAAAAACTCTACATCTATCATTGAATTAATAGTTTTTTTTTGAAAAATTTGATGGTACTACATCTAAATTAAAATGATTTAAAAAAATAAATACAAAAATTTATTGAACTTTAATTTCAAAATTATTCAAGTCAATTATCTTTAGTCAAATTTATTAAAATTTTATTAAAATTTTAGCTATATATATAGTTTTTATTTATTTTAAAATCTTAAGACCGATATTAAATAACATGGATGCATTTCTTGCAAAATTTTAATCTATGTAGAATAAATATGATAAAAGTTTTACGACCAAAAAATCCAAGTTTTGCAATAAAAAATTGATTTGTTTCCACATATGAATTAAAATTTTAACAAAAAATTGACATCAAATAGAATAATGTTGTGCTTATAGTAGTTTATGTTTTAATTATTTAGTACATAATGCAAAAAATTATTGATCAAGCTTATTGATTATTAAATATTGAGTCTAACAATTGATTTTGTTATTAGATGCAACAATCAAAGTTTCAAATTTTGTTCAAAAAGTCATATGATGATATTTTAAGACTTCAATATTTTACTTCAAATACTTCTATTAGGAGAAATCTACAATAAGATGTGCAAACTAGTATTGTACATTCTAAAATTCACAAGATTTGTAGACAAAGCAATCAAGTTGTAGGATTCTTCTATAGTTGCTTCTTAAAAGTAGAAAATCTCTTGATGAAGTGTTTATAACTAGGTGAGTCTTTTAAAAGAATCTATGGGTTCAATTTATGTTTAGATTTTTTTTTAATATATTTTAAAGAAAATATTATCTATCTAATGCATTTATTCATAATTCTACTTACTTTTATTTATTTTTATTTATTTAAGCACTACACGTACATATTATATAATGTTAGAATATAATAAAATATTAATAATAGATATGTATTTGTGTAGATATATATATATATATATATATATATATATATATATATATATATATTATGCATATTAACTAAAAGTATATAAAATAAAAATAAAAAAACAATTAAAATTGCATCTATGATATTTTTATCATGTAACTAAATCTTATTATATTTTAAACATATAGTCTTTTATATTATGAAATATCTTCTAGATTACTAATTTTATATCTTAGAATTTTAAAGAATTATAAAAATTTTATAAAAATTAGGTTTGTAGAAATTTTTCAAATATAAAATATCAATAATAGAGATAGAAGTAATAGATAAATATGTAACAATTATATACTTTATATAATGTTGGTTTTCAAATTGTTAAACAAACATCTACTAAAAGTTGTTAATGAGAACTTAGAGATTATATAATGGTAATTTTTTCTTAATAATAACTATATTCTTGATATGTTTCTAATAGAAAATAACTTCTTAATTAACACCTTTAATTATTTAGGTTTTTAGTTATAAATTCAACTGTTTGGTTGATATTATGATTCAATATCAATTACATCTTTTATTTATATAATTAACAAATAAAGAATTTTATGACAATTCACTATAAATAAGGGTTACATTAGAAACAATTATTCAATTTTTATATTATTTTATTATTTAAAGTATCTAATTTTATGTAATCACCAATCCATCCATATATATTAATCAGAATAGTTTGCAATATAACAAAATCAGTTTTTATCAAATATAATTAATTATAAAAGAAATTAAAATATATAGTTGTGGTGGCACCAGACATTCTTGATAATTAAATAGGAATGTAAATCTTATTGAATGATTATGACCCCCAATTCATGAAAGAAATCTTATTCATATAACTATTTGATTTTTTTAAGATAATTTAGGACTGGAATTAAAAATATTGACTTTATTGCTATACAAGAAAATACTTAGCAAAAATTGTTTTGAATCAAATACCAAAAAAATTGTAATAAAGCATTGAATAATCAAATTAAAACAAAATAGATTAATTTATTCTAAGAAAACACACAATATATGTTAATATATATAATTTTAGAATTTAATGCATGTACATAATATACGTTTTAAAAAACATCTCAATTTATATAATGCACATTTAATTTAAATAAGAAATTTGAAGAACCACATTGTTATTGATCATCTTGAATTTAATGACCCAGATCCAATAATCAACCCAAAGACAGCACTTAAAAATCACCTTTTAATATTACCAAAAACCTTTATTTCTCTTCAAAGAATCAACAGCAATTCAAAACTGCCTTCAATATTCACAATGTTGTCTATAATCATCACTTTTACTTATTTAGTTATTTATCTATTTCTCTATCAAGGTGTCGTTTTATTCGTTCCCTACTACAAGATCAACAAACACCATTCGTCTTGTGAATGGAATGCAGTTTGTGTGCCTGGGCTTTTTTCCTGTGATTATGAGCGTCACTGAGCTTCTTCACCATCTCATGGAACGGCACATCATGCTCCACAGTTTGTTTGATGTCTTCCACAGTGGCATTTGAGTTTGCAAGCTCATGGTGCTGCTCTTGAATGACCTCGGCAACTGCTTGGACCAGCTTTGCAGGCTGTGAATCAAGAGTTTTGAGAACTTTCTTCAAATCCTCAACCAAACGGTCGCTAAGCCCACGGCTGAAGTCTTCTCGCACAACCACTCGCAATAGTGTGGTCTGTTGTGCATCCGGTGCCATGGTGTAGGCAGAAACTGTCCAACCGTGGCGGCGGAGACCATCAGCGATGTCAAACTCATCAAATTTTCTCTTGTCCTTCAAAGAGAAAGCAACGAGGGGGACACCTTGGGGCTTGGACAAGAGCTTGAATCTGCCGGTTGCCACGATGCTCTCTGCCAGGGTCTTGGCGTTCTTCGCACAATTGGCAATGATCTTGCTATAGCCCTGCCACATTTTATACCCACATTTCGAAGATTCGTTGGATTCATGGAAATAGTCTCACTAAATATCTAGTTATCGATAAAGTTACTAACCAACCTTGCCTGTTAGCGTTTCCAAGAGATGTACGGTAATCCAAAGATAAGTGAATGAAAGACAGATAATTCAAATGCACCCATACCTCAAAGCCAAGCCTGATGAATTGGTAGTACTGTGCAATGATCTGGCTAGCACCTGACTCACAAGACAACGGTCGTTAGTACAGTGAGATGTAGTGATGACCTCGCCAATCTGTCAACATTTCCCTCACGCAGGAGGTTCTCGAGGCTGCTGAATGCTCTGTTCTAGACGATGGCTGCAGGAAAAGAGTAACCGTAGGTTAGAAGAGATCAGTTTACTCTGGTGAAGTCGTTTAACAAGAGCAGTGCAAACCTTTAGAGAAGTTGAGGGTGAAGGTGGGCTGATCGGCTCCCAAGTAGTTGACGTGAAAAATCAACTCCTCGGGAAGGTCCTCCTTGCTGCGCCACACAACCCAGCCTACGCCGGGATACACCAGCCCATACTTATGGCCACTGACGTTAATAGACTTCACTAATGGTAGCCGGAAGTCCCAAACAAGATCGGGATACAAAAATGGCGCCACAAACCCTCCGCTGGCGGCGTCCACATGAATTGGAATATGCCACCTGTACCGTATATTATCCCGCTTGTAAATACATGCAACTCTCAAGAATCCCGAAGAAGTAAAAGCTTGCAAGAGAGGTCCCGATTCTAGGATTTTAAATGCTGCACAGAATTTTACATTTGGTAGTTGTAAAAAATTGATGAAATCGCACGACTTACCCCTTTTCTTTGTTCTTCTTCTCGAGAAGATTGTTTAAAGTTTCAACATCTTCAAACTCGCCATTGTATGTCGACCCGAGAATGGCGCTAACGCAGATTGTGTTTTCATCACACATTTCGACTGCTTTCGCAGGGTCCATAACATAATAATCCTCCCGAAGTTTCACAGCCCTAAGCTCTACTTCAAAATAGTTTGCAAACTTTTCCCATACGACCTACGCATACAACCAGTTCATCAAACATTGCAATACCTCCAATTCTTTTCCAACGGGGCTCATAATCATCACTTAAAAGCTACCACGAGGATCGACGTTGACTTCACCCCAATTGCAGACTGCAGGGATTGGGGTTTAGAAACCACTGAAAACTTACACCAAATTGCAGAAGAAGAAGAAGCTTAATCACTCAACATCCAGGAAATCAAGAAAGGTCTTAGTGAACAAACGTGAACGTTGGCGCCAGTCACCATGTTGGGTTTGTCAAAGGGTAACCCTTTGGCCTTTCGCTCAAGCTGCCACTTGCGCTTGAATGCCAACCCTGCCAGCATAATGGCCTCTGAGGATCCAACCGTGCCAGCTCCAATTGCTGTCTGCCCTTCCTCTAGAGAAGCATTGAACAAACGCGCAATCATATTCACACATCGGTCTTGCAGCTCGGTGGTAATTGGGTACTCATCCATGTCAATATAATTCTTACTCAAAGCGCCCAGCATCAGCTTGTCGCACTCTGGCTCCATCCATGTCGTCACGAACGAAGCAAAATTCAAACGTGGATTTCCGTCCAACATTAGCTCATCAGCTATCACCTGGTACGCGGCATCCTTGGGAAATTCTCGCTCAGGCAAACTCCATCTGCGATAAGCAAGTTTGAGTTACCAAACTTGTGAAGAAACAGAGCATGCAGGTTCCTCTCAAGGTATAATCTCAGTTCTTAATCTACAAGAGTAGATGGAAAGTGATTCAGAACAACAATGACACAGTGAGGGATGAACCTGGGAAGTTCATTTTGGACGTAACGAGAAGCATAGATGGAGTCTACGTTGGAGGAGTCCACCTCCTTCATGCCCTTTAACTCGCTGAGCACCATCCTGACTTACCAACTCTTGCCAGAAAAATTTCTAAAATGAACTCACGACCCTAACAGCTTCCGGCCTTTCAAAACATGTGCTTCTGTAACCAGTTCCGCAGCATGCACAACGTCTTTCAAGAAAACGTAGAAGAACATCTCATGCAATAGTCGACAATGCAACACCTATCGTGATTCCGCAAAGCAATCCCCCCAAACTCTCTACTCTCCCCACTGCTTTCTCAATCAAAGCGAGAAATCCCTCCTCCAGCAACTGAACCATGACCCAAAACGCTATTAGTACATGATCGATGTCAAATTGCCCATGGGGTTGTAAGGAATTGGGCGGTAGCTTGACGTCTCGAGATGACAAAGGGAAAGGCACCAGAGCGCATTTGGCATGCTGACAAGTTGCTCCCAAATCCCGCCAGCTAACCCTCCGTAAATCCAACTTTCCCCGTAAATCACTCATGAATACAAGTCAAGCAATCGATGACAGCTCGCATCTCATGCAAAGCACGAACCCAAAAACGCGGTGCATGGAACCAAACGGAGAGTTGATGGCCTGATGGGTAACTAACGTTAGTCACAGCAACTCAGAGCAACACACAGAAGCGATTTATTTCACCGGCATCTTCGTCAGGAGAATGCAAGATCCACCGATAAACACTTTATTGGCCCACGTGTGAATATATATATATATATATATATATATAGAGCAAGTGGATGGGCTTTGTTTTCATCAAAAAAGTTTGCCTTCTCTGAAGTTCATAGGGCATTCCATAGGGTGCTTTTTAGATGACCAGGGCGTTCTACGTTGCTGGTAATAGAATCGGAGCTATAGGAATTGTTGACAGGGATAATCCTTTGATTTACTGTTAATTTTCTTTTGAAGAGATGTTACTTCACGATTAGAAATGTATGGTAGAGTAGGCCTTCATGTTTGTGATTAATGATCCTGTAAGAAACAACTTCATTATTAACTAAAATTAAAAATTAAAAATTCATTGTTAAAAATAAAAAGTTGACAGACATTGCTAGGGCGGGGTGTGGCAATACCACCACAGCTTTCTCCAGCGATGTTCATAACTTTTTGGTGATGCCAATTTTAACTTGTGTTGTGATGCACAGAGGAGGAAGTCCATGTTGCTATGAAAATTGTGTAGGAATATACTTGCATGTTTAGTTTATGAATGAAGGAAACTTTTTAGATATTAAGTTGATTGAGGTATGTCATTTTAGTTTTTAATTTCCATTGCAAGATGCAAAATTTGGACGTTGACATTTCACTTTTCAATCAAAAATTTATTATCCTAGCATAATAGAGTCTCATATGGAATCTGTGCAAGGATGGCGGTTAGTAGACATGTTTTACTTTTTAATTGGGTTGTGACATTTGATGGAATGTAATTGCATTACTCAAAAGTTGGATCTTGCATATCTCCAAATTGTACGCTATAGCAAAAGATGCCAAACTATATTTTATGAATGCAGTTTATTGCATTTTGTAAATGTAGTTTATTCTATTATGTAAAAATATAGTTTATTCTATTTTAGTAAGTTTGTATTGGATTTTGTAAAATAGATTTAATTTAGAAATTCTACCACTATAATTTTAGGTAAATGTTGCTTGATATGCATTTCTTCTCTTTCCTTCTTTTATATCCTAAAACTACTTATGTTTATAATATGAGGTTTATATTCTTTACATTTATTATTGTTCATAGTATTGTGAGTATTAGGGATTTAACTTTGGAGGCATTTCAAGATAGTACTTAGGTTTGCATTTGATTTCTTCTTTTATTTTCTATAAATAGGATTGAGAAAAAGGCATGAAGTAGTTTTGTACTTTTTTGCCTTTCTTTCAATATTTCAAACTATATATATATATATATATATATATATATATATCAAAGTTGAAAAATCATGTTGTATTTCAATTTACAACTTGAAAAGTTTCAAAGTTAAATAAGATGTTGTATTCTTACATGTTCACATTGATTGTAATATAGTATAGATAAGATAATTATATAGATAATTAGAACCATAGAAGTTTCTAAAATTGAAGTTAGATTAACGAACTAAGTAAGATCCATTGCGGAATATTTTGGAGAAGATTTAGGATGGTTACTTAGATGGGGCTTACTATAGAACCTTCTAGAAATGGCTTAGGGTGGTTATCTAGGTGAGGCCCTACCATAGAACCTTCTAGAAAAAGAATTTAAGGTAGTTGTCTACATGGAGTCCACTACCTAGGAACATTCTAGAAGAGCTAGGGTGGTAGGACAAGGTATAAATAGGACTAGCCAAGGCCTTTTGAAGCATCTTGTCAAGTATGGCTTTGGATCTTTTTTTTAGTAAAGTTTGATTTTCCATCTTTTTGTTCAAATCTATTTTGTTCTATTTTTGTTTGTTTAGTTTTGTCTTTCATGTCTTATTTTATTTATTTTTGTTTACTTTTATTCTACTTTGTTTTGTCTTATTTTGTGAGAGGGCCTTATATTGTTGTGGATTGGAAGGATTTTGGTTTTTTTTGAGTTAGTCTAGTCCTCTTTCATTGGTATCAAAGTGAGTGTTAGACTATTACTTTTGGTAGTTTGTTAATAGTCATCATTTAGTCCAAGGTCAGTTATTGTAGTCACATTGGATATTGTGTTGAGGCTACGACAAGCTACTCTTGAAAAATCAATCTCAAGGTGAAAAGGCATTATAATACTAGAATCCAGTGGAGAAATTACAGTATGAGAGATATGGCACAACAATCTTAGATGGAGGCTCAAATACAACACTTCTTAAGCTAGATAGCTACTTTGCAAGGGTAAATAAAAGCCTTGAGGACAAGAGAGTCGACATCTGTTAGGTTGAAATTGAGTAAGTTTACTACATACTCTGGAACTCCAAGACAAGAAGATGTATGTCAATGGCTCTTCAACATGCGTCAATACCTCCAGCTATCTGGGATAAATACCACTGAAAGAATCGTATATGTAATCAACTATTTGAAAGATGTGGCAGCCATTTGATGAAAGCATCGAATTCAAAGTTAACAAGATCAAGGTAGATTTTGTGACTGAGAGGAATTTGAGACCGAGTTTAGGAATCAATTTTGGCCCATCAATGCAAAAAAGATACTACGCAATTAGTTGACAAATCTTACATAAGCTAAATTGATGTAAGATTATATCTCCCAATTCAAGTTCCTATATCTTTAAATTAATAATATTTTGGAGGTAGAGATGATGGATTGATTCCTACGAGGTTTGAAACGTGGAGTCCAATAGGAGGTAGAGCTAAAGGATTCAAAAACATTTGAAGAGGTAATTTGGAGTGTAGAGAGGATTGATGCAATAGATTTCCAAAATCTTGGAGTACGACCTATAGCATGAAGTTGTATGCTATTATCTAATATTATGGCACAACAACCAATGCCAATAGAAATTGATGCCCTGGAAGGATCATTGACACTACAAAGATGAAAAATGTTGGTACAAAAAAAATTGTGTTTTTATTGTTGTGAACCAGGCCATTAGATTGGAGGTTGTTCAAAATGTCACAGTACAAATATTAGCAAGATAAGGCAAGTTTATAGTCTCAAAACTCATTAAGTTGATAACGAATCAGAGCAAGAAAATGAGGCTTTCTAATAAAAGTATTAGAGGCCAGTATTGGGGGTAGCCATTGTCTCTCATAGACAAATGGCATAGCCTGAGACAACTATAAAAAAAATTGACTGGTGCACCTAATAGGACTATTAAGAGAAAAACCATGTCAAAGGCTTGTAAATTGCGGCTCTATAGAAAATTATATTTCAATTGAAATTTCCAATTGACTTAGAATTAAAACCAAAGAAATCAAGGAAAGAAGTATGTACCTTGTAAATGATCAAGAGAACATATTTAAAGAGATGTATGAAGAAGAAACCTTAAGATTGACAAATACCTATATCTTAAGAGAGAGATTTAAGGCGACAAAGCTAAGATATGATATTATCCTTGGTTTAACATAGCTAGAGATGAAAAATAAGTAAATTGATTAGATAGGAAAGACAATCTCTTTTAAAGATGGAGGACGCAAGGTGACTCTTTGCACCTCCACATCAAGTGAAGAAGAAAGACAATCTGTGATCAAAGACTTACTTGTAGGGATGAACTTTATGAAGAAGCAACTACAAGATGAGCAACCAATATATATAGTGGTTCCAAATCTTGTGTTAGTGGTGAATATGAGAGATAAAGGGATAGAACGGGCAAAGTAATTCATGCAAGAATATCAGGATGTCTTTTCAACTGACCTACCTCGTGGCGTACCTCCTCATTGAGGTGCCTCCTTTCAAATAGAACTATTACCTAGAGCCCAACCAATAAGTTGATCAATTTATTGCCTAACACCAAAAGAACTTGAAAAGCTATGTAGAACATTGAACAAACTTTTGGAAATAGGCCTCATTTGAGAAAACACATCATCATGGAAAAGACCTGTATTCTTTGCACTTAAGAAAGATGGTGGACTTTGCTTTTATATTGACTATCAAGGTCTCAATACGCAGACTGTTAAAAATGCATATCCACTTCTACGTATAGATGATCTTCTTGATTAACTTTGAAATATAATTATCTTTAGTAAATTAGATCTTTAGAGTGGTTAGTAGCAAACATCTATTGTAAAAAATGATGTGAAAAAGAAAACATATCATATAGACTATGGACATTTTGAATGGCTTGTTTTACCCTTTGGCCTCACGAATGCTCCATCTTCTTTCATGGCTCAAATAAATAGATTGTTTCGAGATCTTTTGAACAAGTATATAATCGTTTTAATTGATGATATCCTGATATATAGTAAAATCTCTGAAGAGCATAAATAACACCTATGAGAGGTACTATGCCAACTATAAGAAAGTCACTTTTATTGTAAGAAAACAAAAAATAAACTTGGAAGTCAAAAGTCATCTTTTTGAGGCATGTGGTGTCTTCCAAAGGTATGCATACGGAACAAGATGAGGTGAAAGCAATAGAAGATTAGCCAACTCGCAAGGATGCTTCTGAAGTTTGTTCATTTTTAGGCCTTTGTTAGATACTGTTGCCATTTTGTTCGACAATTTTCTCACATTGCTACCTCATCAACAAGCCTATTGGAGAAGGATGCCTCATTTAAATGAAAAATAGAGCAATAAAATGCCTATGATAAGTTGAAGGAGGCACTCATTACTACTCCAATATTACAATCGTATAATCCTAACCTTCCTAGTACATTTGATATTGATGCTTTTAACTTTGCTATTGGAGCAATCCTTCAACAAAACTTTGGTAGGGACCTTCAACTTGTGGCATATGAATCACATAAGCTTAGAAGGGCAGAGCGCAATTACTTTGGATGTAATTGAGAGCAATTAGTGATTGTACATGCCAAAAAGGTGTGGTGATACTATCTATTGAAAAAACCAATAGTTAATCAGATTGACCATCGATCCTTGTTGCATGATTTGTATTTCAAAAATATGAAATTATGGCATCATCGTTAAGAAGAATAATTGTAGATTTTTGATATTTAGCTTGATTAAAAACAAGGACAACAACATTGTAC